GAAAGAGGATAGAAGAGAAAGAGTGAGTGGGGGAGTGAGAAGAATGTTCTGGAATCTTTTAGTACCCCATGCCCAGGGCATGCAATGGAAATTAAATAGCTCTCCGAATAAGGCTGGACTGTCACTTCACTTTTCTCCTCAAGCCCTAGACAAGCTTTTAAAAGGGCATAAGGAGCCTGACCTTCAGGAAACACTTAGGATGTTCATTTTCCATAGATCATCTTGGATCTGGCACTATCGTCCCTCAGACAGTGTCCATGAGGATTTGATGGATCTTCATAGCATGCAGTACCTCTGGGCTGTAGGACAGCAGAGATGTCAGGGTAGAAAATCAACTCATGAGAGCAGCGTTGCAGTCAGACTGTGATATGTAATATGTGGAAAGCAAGACAAAAACTTCCTTGCCTTGAAATGAAATATCAAATATATCCCATTGGTGAGCCCAGACTTTTCCCAGTATGTGAGAGTGAACAGTAGCACTAAGTAGGGGAAGCGCACTTGCCTGATGTGGTCTGAGATGCTGTTTGATGTTGCCCAGGGAAACCACAGTGCCAGTCTTAAGAGCAAAAAGAAATAGTCTGAAAAGGACATGATGCCACCTAGTGGCATTGAATGACAGCTCAGCCTTTCTCAGCTTTTTCAGCTGTTGAAAAGAGGGAAACTTGTGCATGGGTTTTAGTTTTCTATCCTAGAAAATTTTTTGAGAGAAAGTGGGGTATCCTCCAGCTACTCTCTGTTTCTCTGCTGTGGGCATTTGGTTCTAAAAGCGTGGCTGTGCTGTCACGGGGTCCTTCTGGATCTCGCTGGTCCCATCAACTCAAGACTGGTTACTCCTCCTCAAAATCAGCGTGAAAAAGTTCTGAAGTCCATGGATGAGAAGAAACGTAATTGTGTGATTTGAAATAAATGGCTTTATTTTAGGTTTTGAATAAAACCTTTCAAAGATGAAAAAGAAAACATATGCCAATTCACTTAAAAACCAATATCTGATTTTTCTCCTGATCAGATTATATAACTCTAAAATCTGAGGAAGTATATCTTTCGTTGCCATTTTGCCCTTTGACTGTATTAGGAAGCTAAGTCATGAAAAATGTGTTTCAAAACGGTAAATAAATGGAAGCTACTTTGACTAGTTTCAGATCGTACTCACTTCTTGGCAGGAAGTCAGACTTTGAAAGCTGACCGATGTGAATGGGCAAAACCAATCACCCCGTCACCTGACACACACACACAGCATCCTCCAGAGAACGCCCGTCTTTGAAGGGCTGTCAAGTAAACCTGCTTTTTACCAAAAGCTGTGCATGTTTCACTTTGGTTTTATAAAAGAGGTTAGTAATCATTGGAACCAAGCCTAGCTCTGAGGTAAAGTTACAAGGTAACAGGTGCACATATGTATTCTGGTTGGTGAATTTATTGCAATTTGTTTTTCACACACTTGGCGTGAAGTGCAATTAGAATAATTAATCAGTTAACCTTGGCCCATCACCTTCCCCAATAGATCCACTTTATGCTGAAACTACAGATAGATTAAGGCAAAAATAAGAGTTCAGCAAGTGGCATTACTAATGGGACCCCGTGAAACCACAGCAGAATGCTCACAGGATTTAGGAAACCACGTGAATGTCGGTTCTCTGAGAGCAGCCGACAGTTAGGCACTGATGGGAAACTCAAGGTTAGTTCGGTGGATGTCCCGAGATATTTATAACCAGTGGCAAGCTGAATGCCTTCGACCTGAACTTCTAACCCCTTGTCAATAGTAACAGCCACTTCCCCAGGGACTCAATCTGTTTCAAAGGCCACACTCACGCAGACCCTGTCCTGTGTACTGCAGGGGAAGGGGGCTCTAACCCTAACACCTCCCTCATTTGTCTGGAGTCTCCTTCTGCTACTCAGAGTGTGAGGAAGATTCCAGTTTAAAGGCAGAGGTTCCAATGACCTCTAGAATCTCAGAGTAGTTGCCAAGCTTTCTGTCAGTGAGATTTAAAAGCCATTTACTTGTGTTTATTTTATATTTAATGAGTTGGTTAATGCCAAAGGCAGGGCTGATGTCTGGTTTATTTTGGATACTGAACCTCTGCACACAATTCCACTTGAAATATCAGGTCAGGAATGTAGACCATCGCAGACCCTCAGAAAGGTCTCCTTATAGCTGCAGACGATGTACATTCAGGGTCAGGCCAAAACATCCACCGTCGTTGTGCGTTTCATTCTGGGTGGCAACGTCTCGGTGCAGTCACAGCAGACAGTTACAAACCCACAGATGGAGATCTTGCAAAGAACCATGTGGGAAAGAGCCTAGGCAGACTGCTTAAAGGCTCACTTTCCCAGCTGTTCCCCAGAAAAAGTGAGAACGTCACAAATGGGAGAGAGAAGCAGCAACTTACACACAAGGGCAGGAAGACATCGGGGTGAGCCTGATGGAAATTAGGCAGCAGTCCAGCAATGAGAAACACTCCTCATCTCCTTCTGCCCTTAGTGATACGGGGTGCAGAGATGCCCTTGGGGGAGGGCTGCCAGTTTGCTAGAATTGTGTACAGAGGCCAGGCGAGTTTGACTAGCCAAGCGTCACTTTGAGAAGCCACCTATGAGGCTATCACCAACAGTGACCGCAGGCAGGTGCCCCCAGAACTCTGAGAGTGTGACAAGTGCAAGCAATCCGTGGTGGCCGAGAGCAGGTATTTTAGAGTCACTCAAAGATGTCAGAGTGGCTCTCAGACCTGTTGATAACATAACACTGCACTTCCCTAAGTTTTACTGGTCCAGGGTGTTCTGAAAGTTTGCCTGCAAGGATGCTCCTAAAAAAAGAATTCCATGGACCAATACCTTTGGGAAGTCCTGCATGCCTCACTCCTCTTCCAAAGGCCCAGCAGCCTGTAGAAGGCTCTAGATTGACCTGCAGTGAAAATTCTATTTGTGTTTAACACGGCCCTCCCCAAAGGTCTATGTCTGGTCATCCTTTGGGAAGCCCTGCATTGATCTCTAGAGGAAGCACCAGCCAGGGGTGAGAGGTCGTGCTTAGCGGGGGAGGTGTGTTCGTGGGAAGGGTGAAGGAGATAAAGGGCTCCTGCCACGTGGAGGAGGCCTCTCTGGTGGTTCTCTGCCATGCTCCTTTACCTTCATTGAGCATTTTAGATGGGTCTTCCCTGTGTCTCCCTCATGAAGCCCACAGCCCCTGATTCTTCCCCTTCATCATCCTCTCTAGCCCCTCTACTAGTCCCTGACCTGTATCTTCAATGGTTCAGACTCCATCCACTCTTTGTGGAGCTCGGTGGGATCTATGTCAAGTCCAAGTTCAATGTCTCCCTTTGGCAGTTTGCTGGGAGTACTATAAATAAAGTATTGTTGTCATAATCATTTCTGATTAGTATTTTTGCACCTAATAAAGTCTCAAAGGGAGGGTGTTTACTTGGTCTAGGGGAGGGGCACCTTCCAGATGACTTGCCAGCAATTAAAGCAGCTTGTTAGTCGGAGGCCCAGGACGGCCGAGGACAGCTGGAGAGCTCTTCTTTGCAAGCAGCTCTGGTTAACATCAACCAGGAAAGCTCTTTGTAAACACATGAATAATTGATCATCCCGCGCTCACATAGCTACCGAGGATCTGAGCCCGCATGACTCATTTGAGAGCCATCCCTGTCGTCTGGATGCCATAACATTGGAGGAATGATGATCGTTTCTTGGAGATTCTTCTGTGGCCAGAGTTGCCAAGACCAAGGCTGTAATGGTTTGTTATGATGACCTTTGTTATTCCATTAGGCTCAATTGCTTTAAAAAATGATGTGTGCATACTTTCGGAACGTTTTTACCCTTTACGTTGACCTGACATCATAGTTTATATTACAGAATGTATTAATGACAGAGGAGTGTTTTCATGTCCCAAGGACAAATTTTAACAACCATAATCTGCCCTTAGTCATCATAAATATAAATGTATTGGTCAAACAGATCTCGTTAATGTGGCCAAGATAAATGCAAGCCTATATTTTAAGGCAGCTGAAGTCCTAGAGAATATATTTGGAGCTTTTTGTGGGGCTAAGAGATCTTGTATAGTGCTATCAAAAGGCTGAGAAAATTAACATGTTTCCCCCTCTAGTTTGGCATTGGACAGATATTAACGTCTTGGGGATGTCAAGCAAGATTGCTCACATAGTTTCTGGACACTGTTAATGCCTGGTGGGGTGAATCTTAGTTCTTAAAGCTGTATTCTCACTATGCTCTCAGGGCTTTTGAAAAGAAAGAAAATACAGATTTCAAGTCTCAACCATGTGTTGCTCAACTGTATTTCCCTTTATCACACTGTGTCTTAAAGTTTTAATTATATTAATCCTCCTGCCCCAGCATCTTGTTTCCTGTGGGAGAAGGCCCTTTTCCACAGATGTGTGTCTGACGTTTTGCATATTCCAGTTGGCAATCCGTATGTTGGCAGATGATGTTCTGGGCGTGAGCTGTACGACGGGTCAAATACTTTTCGTCTTCATTACACTACGTTCAGAAGTGTGGGCCTTTATTGGCAGTATCCACGTTTCACACTTTTCAGGCAGAAAATAAATACTTGTTTTAAGAAACCCTGTTTAATCATGCTTTTATTTTGAACCATGAAAATGTGTTTCAGGCAGTAATGTCTCACATGCTACTCTCTGAGCGAGCAGACTG